TAAAAGGAAGTTAAAAGAAAAAGAAAAAGAAAAAAATGTACTCTTTGAAGGTCAATGAATTTCTGGACCCTGTCTTTCCATGTTCCACTGCTTTGAGTGCGTGGAACTAATGCCCAAGACATTTACAAAGATGCGATGCCAAATGCAAATCTTTCTTCACGGAATGTAAATCTCGAGATGGATTCCATTTTCCACTTTTTAAGCTGTTAATCTCCTTCCTTGCCGTTAATCCTTCCACAGTAAATATCCCAGACCTTCAGGAATTAATAGATTTTACATTTTACTAAAGAAGATATGATTGCAACTACAAATTACTGTGTCTGTAATGATTTCTGCCAATTAGGTCTTTTGTGTGTGTATATGTTTCTATTCTTTTAGGAAAAAAAAACAAGCAAAATGACAGTGATAATCCTGATAATTTATTTGATATTTTTCTACATGTAAATATAAGAATGGATATTGAGAGGGTGCAAGACATAAATTTTGTGGAAATCAAATAAGAGTTCTGACAAAATGCAAATTCTTTTCCATTTGCACTAACACTCCAATATATGTTATCTATTTTTTATCTACTGTTGATGAGTACAGCTATCTTGTACATTTGTTAAAAAAAAAAAGTTTTATGTTGAAAATATAATTATAATGAAACTTACAAAGAAATCATGCAAATTATTGTTTGTACAAATTATCCAACTCCATTTGAATCATTTTAGTTCAGTGAAGACAAAGACTTTTTCTATATTTTATGTGTAATTATTGAGATTGAAATTGTAGAAAAGGAGGCTGTTATTTTTACTGCTGGACTTTGAATACAAGTAACCCTGTTGATTGTCAATGTAAAATAAAGATAAAAGATTATTTGTTTTTCTTATTATGTGTTGTCTCATAATTGAAATGATGCTTTTCATGACCATTCCTCTAGTTTTTTTTTTTGCTATCCCTTGCCTGTCTCTTTCTCTTCAAAATAATATTCTCTGGGTGTTTCATGGGCCACTTCAAGTCCAAAATCCCAATCCCTTGCTCATTGTTGCCGTGGGGTTCTTAGGAGGCAGAGACTAAACTCAAAATAGGGATCACCTCTACCCTGCCCCCCCTCCCCCCAAATACCTTGCCAGTTTTTGTCATTTAGGGGCTTAGGAGACAAGGACTGAGACCCAATGCTGGGAATTTCCTTTGCCTTGGGACTTTACACAGTCTTTTTCTCTCCTCCTTTTCATTTCCCCACTGATTAAAATTGTCCCAGTTCCCCAACCCCAGGCTCTCCTTTGACCACGACTCTGAACACCGCTACTACTACCCCTCCTCAATGTCTACTAGTACATCATCCACTCAGGTCAACACTCTGGGAGACATTCCTATTTTCCCAACCTTAACTTTATCCATCTCCCTCCACAACTTTTCCTTCATCAACTACTCCATCCTACCTTATTACTACTCTACAACCTCTCCATAATACTTACCTCTCTCAACTCTACTCCCTCTTCCACACATCCCTGTCCTTCCACACATCCCTGTCCACCTCCACCTTTACAAATATCTTAAATACTCTACTAAGCCCAGTCCAATGGGACCTATTTTTCATGATCCCTCCCACAGCTCCATACTCTGACAACACAATTCTTCCAGCAATGTCTCCCAAAAACAAGTACAGATAGTCCCCTACTTTAGAACATTCTACTTATGAACATTCCATACATACAAACAAATTTTTTTTAAGTACTAAAGTCCAAAAAATTGTTTGAAAGATGCTAGCAAACTTCAAATTTCCCGGGCACGAATATAGTTCAAGGGTCTGGTACTGTATAAGGTATATCGTACTTACTGGGATTTATTTACAGGTATTCTTAATGTAAACAAAACTTTAAAACAATGGGAAAAAAGGTAATGGAGACCCGACTTTCGACATACAAACAAATCGACTTACAAACAGCCTCTCGGTCCCCATTATGTTCTTAAGTTAGGGACTTACTGTAGCAAAGTTGCCCTCCACAGCTGCCCCAATTGTTTCCGTTTCTTCACAGTTACAGCTGAAACCCAAGCTAAAGCATTATCAACCCTGACAGACTTCACTGACAAACCTGTTCCCGCAGAACCTCATTTGACCCTCAATACCTGTACCGGAAATGTCTCCATATCCTAACAAACTGCCCTGTCTATAACAAAAATTGGTCAGATTGTGGAGTACACTCACTCGCTTGCCTCATGGACAAGTAGTATCAGTAGTGTAATATCAGTACAATGCTATACCATTCCCCCTAGAGGCCATCTTAAGAACCTCACCAACATTACTAAGATTACTTCCCGTAGACATAACTTTCCCTTTAATGTTTATATTGGCGGAGAATCCCTCCCTGTCTGACCAAAGCAACCTCACCCTCGTCATGCCAGCATTGTTGGCCTTTAGGACATCCTGTCAAACACACCCAATGCCCTCTCTGTGCCCAATATGGCCATAACCAAGGTTATATAAGTACCTTGGTCATAACCAATCAAACTGTTCCGCACAATCACCCACATGTGCCAATTGTGGCGGCCCCCATAATGTATTTTATAGAGACTGCCCCACCTAGAAGTTTGAGTCTGAGGTGGTGACTCTCAGATTCAGACTTAGCCTCACTGTGCGTGTAGTCAGACAGGAAGCACGCCGACGAGTTTTTTTCATTTCCTCACTACTACAATAATGTCGCTCGCTCTGCCCCTACCCCTCCATCCCAAGACGTTCCGACACCCTCCCCTATACCTATCCCTCCCACATCTTGCTTCCCCACTTCTACCTCCTCCATTCCCCAGTCAAATTCTTTTGCCAGACTCTCCAATCTCTACTGCACCCAACACCTCTCCCTCTCCCTCTTCGCACTACCCGCAGCAGTTAGTCTAAACGTTCCACTCCTCCTACCACACCCTCACCTCTACCTAACTTTGCCTCTACTCCTAAGAAAACTTTCGTTTCTCAAAACTCCCCAACCAACTCCACTACAGAAACTATTGGAGGTATTCAAAACTATCTACTTGAGTCCTACCGAATTGACACAAGTCTCTCATCCACCCTCCAATTTTCGCCGCTAATGACCCTAGCTGTTGACACGGCAGATGATTTTAAATTATCAATCACCCCTCCAATTCCACAACTCCCGCTCCCTCCACAAAGTGACTGCCGATATCCATCCTCCTCCTCCTCATATTCCCCCTACACCCCTTCCTCCTATTCCCTCCCAACACAGCCCATCCCTGCTTTCCTCACACACTTCCTAGACATGTCTCCACTCATGCAAAATTGTTGACTCCACATCCACCTCCGGTGCTGGTTTCGCAGTAACCTTCCCAACTCGCACTTTCAAGCGCCCCCTCCCTCCTGAATCCAGTGTCCTTACTACAGAACTATACGCACCCCTTTTTGCCTTAAAATACATATACTCGCTCCCTTCTTCCTCTTTCACTATATTTACTAACTCCCGTAATTCATAAACTCTCATAAAATCTCTGCACTCGACCAGTCCCCTTATCTGTAAGATTCAGAATTGGTTGTTCGACCTGTCTACGCGCCACAAATCTATCAATTTTTGCTGGGTGCCCAACCATGCTGGAACAGAATGGTTGGTCAGGCAGATGTCCACATCACACCAACCACGTTTCTCACGTATACCAGCCATGGATTATTACCCCTACTTTAAGACCTTCATTCATACCGATGATCTGGTCAAGTCTTCGCATTAATAAATTACATACTATAAAGCTATCAATCTCTTAATCAGCTCCATTTCATCGGAACAGACGCTGGGAGACGGCTCCCGCCCGCTTACGTATCGACCATACACACACACACACACACACACACACACACACACACACACACACACACACACACACACACACACACACACACACACACACACACA